TGTGTGTGTGTGTGTGTGTGTGTGTGTGTGTGTGTGTGTGTGTGTGTATGTGTGTGTGTGTGTGCACATGCACACATTTCTGGAAACCCAGGGCTACAGGGAGCTTCTGGGATGGCAGAGTTTCAGGAGAAATGCTAGGAAAGCAGGCTGTGTGCAAAGGGCGAAGCTGGGCAACAGTCTGGCTGTGGCAGAACCACGGAAGGCACGGCAAGGTTTCCTGTTTCCACTCTGGTTTATTTTTTTAAGCTACCAGCCTGGTTCCTTCTTTTGGTTTGTTTGCAAATGTGCTGTTTGCCTGAAGCACTGGGCCGAGGTGTGCTCTGAGGATGGGGATCATGTCCCCAGCCCTGAGCGTGGTACGATGTGTCTCAGTGTTTACGAACCAGACACCAGCTTCGTAAATGGGCCTGCTGTATGCGAGCAATGGCGTGCACAGGACTTGCCAAGGTGGGCACGCGGGCACTCGGATATCTCAACCCCCCAAGAGAAGTAAGCAAAGGTTAAAGGAATCTGTGGGCCAAAGAACACTTCTGTGTAAGCCAGCTCTCCAGGTGAAGGCTCCATTAAGAGCAGCATGCATGACTATGGTGAAGAACACGGCACGTCAGGTGAGGCTCACAGGAGGAAGCCAGTCACAAGAAAGGAAAGGGGCAGCCTCCAGAGTGCTCTAAGGCAGAGAGCCCCATGAGAGCGCAACATGCTGATCATGGTTGGAGGTCCAAGCCTCGAGGCACACACACACACACACAACACACACATGTTGTGTTGTGTGTGTGTGTGTGCCGTGTGTGTGTGTTTTCTGATTTTTATATAGCCTACACACAGGCATGCATGTGTCTGCGTGTAAGTGTGTGTGTGTGTGTGTGGTATACACGTATATTATATCTCTAGTATTTAAACTGACGACTGAGTGGGCACAAGTGGGCAGGCAAACCACTCACCGCTGAGGTTAGAGCAGACCTGAGACCATAGGAGGCCTGAGTTAGAACCCTGGAGCCTGGGGCACAGACAGGCTCTCTGTGTCATGCGGCCGGTGCTCTTGTCACGGTCTGAACATGGGTTCTCAGAGAGCACTGTTTCAGTTGCCACCCACTCTCTTTTTAATTGATTCTTTGAGAGCTTCACATCATGATCCTAGCCCTCCCATCTCCCCATTCCCTTATATCCGGCCTTCACCCTTACAAACTCCCCCTCAAAATAAAACACACACACACAAACAAACAAACAAAAAGCATTTTTAAAAATCCATCATGGAAGCTGCAGAATTCCACAGTGTGCCCCACAGTGGAATCCCACTGTCCACACAGCTTCACTTGCTAATGTTCACTGCCGTGACTCCTTGGTCTGGAGACCTCTGTGACTCCATCAACACCGGATCCTCACCGGGATTCCTTCCTGTCCTGTTGTTGCCCTGTGTTTGGATCAGCAGGTCTGGCCCCTTCATGCATCCCAACCATTCACAGATGATATAGATTTGGGGGTAAGCCAACTCAGAGCCCTGGATCTGGGCCTGGGTGGTAGCTGAGCTGGTCAGCTCACTGGTTCTCCCTTATTTGCACCATAAGGGTGAGCTCTCCAGCACTGCTCTGGCTAGGCCACCCAGTGCTACCATCACCAGGAGTAGGGTCAGTCCTGCTGTCATGCCCTTGGGGCAAGCTCACCCGCATCCATGCCTCCAGAGCCAGCTCCACTGTGCTGCCCAGTCACGGTACAGGGCCTACTCTCCCACGTGCCACAGCCTGTGAGGGGCTGGGACAGCTCTCCTGCCCTCACACTCTCAGGGCCAGCTCTCCAGAGCTCCGAAACCAATAAAGGCGGGGCCAGTTCTGCACAGCCCCTGGACATTCATATGAGACCTGGCT